ACTGCGCGGCTGTACAGTACCAGCGGTAGGGTAGATTCGTCATTTTGTTTGGCTGAGGGCTAACCGAGAGACCTACCTGTACGGAAAATTCGTGAGGGCCATATCTGCAAATATGGGAAATATAGGCCCAGCACTAACCCGAATTTCCTACAGCTACCCCTACTGCGTATAGCAGACGCGGGCTACCCCTATGACAGACAGGCCCGAAGGGCCTATACCGATAGACGGTCCTATAGCCTATAGCCGGGTAGGGAGAGGCCGAGAGGCCGAAACTGGAACGGTACCGGTCGGTCCAGTCAGTCAGGTCTAGGCCTAGGTTAGAGTAGTGTAGATCTATTAATAGATTAGGAAAATCGGTTGAGGACTTTTTGGCGGAGCATTTTGGCGAAGCAGCGTTTGGAGAAGCCAAGCAAGTTGGCAGGTGATAATTGTCTACAGGCGGCATCCTGAGACCCTTGCCGCGGACAGCAGCCATAACCGGCCCTCCTGAAGGTTGTCAGAGCTGGGACATCCTCAGCGCATCTCCCTTTGAGGGTATCTGCGTCTGGCCAGGCTATCTCGAGGCTCTTCACTGAGTGTTTGTGGGTGGCGGCAGCCATAGCTGCCTGTTTCTTCGTCAGAGTTGTTCATCGACACTGAAGACTTCATCGCAGGATCTGTTCTTCATCTGGGTGGTTGGCGCTGGCCTCTGGGAGGCTATTTTGGTGTGGCGCTACTAACTGGGTGTAGGGTAGAGAGTGGAGTGTGGGGTTCTGAAAGTGGCGAGATACTGGAACAAACTCTGTAACGATATTTGGTTTACTTGGCTCATCATCAGTTTGATTCCAGTTGTTATCCTCGCAGGTTCTTCTTGTGATTGTTTGTTGTGAGTACTGTCAGAGAGTGAGGAACATTGTGTGTTTTCTCCCCATCTGTGCATAGCTGTATTCCGCTGCCTATTCTGATCTGTGTACAGTCTGGACTCTGTCTCCTCTCCCCCTTCTCTTACGCATGTATGGGCGTGCGTGAGACTGTCTGTGTGTGAGTGGCGGTAAAAATCGTCAGACAACCAAGTTCATAACATTTGGTTCAATTTTGACGGAAAGTTTGGAGACCCAAAAAGGGTGGCATTTGGTTCAACTTGATGGAAACCCAAAAAGGGTGGTTTTTCATGGCATTTGGTTCAATTTTGATGGAAACCCAAAAAGAAGCTGGCCTTGGATATGATTTGATTCGCAAACTAATCCACTCGGGACTACCCATGTGTTGAAGAGGTCCTCCTTTCGACCCATGGCCACAACACCTTTCAAAGTATGCAGTGCCAACCTTACGGTTCGAAGAGCAGACGCTTCCCGTCTCAATCCGACAAAAAGCCGCTTTCGCGCATAAGAACTAAGAATTTTGATAGTCTTCGTGGATACCGATAAAAAACATCGAAACTCATTAAAAGAGCAGACGCTTCGGGTCTCAATCCCACAAAAAGCCGCTTTCGCACGTAAGAATTAGACTGTCTTTGCGGATACTGCCAAAAACATCAAAAGATTCAAAACTTGTGAAAAAGAAGTTGTTCAAAGTTAATTTTGGAAATTAGAACCAACTTCAACCAAGGACTGAATTGGATACAACAGTTCGAAAAGGAGTCAGGGGCATGCTCACACTAGTTTTTTTTTACTTATTTCAAGTTATTTGTGGATGTAATTGAGGTCAGATACATCCAGGTACGGCTGTAAATGCGGTCAGATACATCCACGTACGGCTGTAAATGTGGTAAGATACATTTAAGATAGAGCTAGTGTGAGGAAGCCCTCAGTATATTTAAATGAAACAAATGAAGTCAATAATTGGCACACAACCCAGCCCGTGTGACTGAAGACCGGTACACGGCACTACTCAGGGCATACTGTGGACATGATAACAGTTAGATGCATCTCTCTCTGGACGCGATTCCAGCCAGATACATTTAGAAAAGTGCCAGTGTGAGTATTCCCTTGGTAGTACACACACATATAACTGGTTAGGAAACAGAACATGAGTTTGAAATTCGATTCCAGATGTGATCAGATGTTCACAAAAAGGCTACCTATCACCTTGAAAACAAAAGGGCACCAAGAAGTGAAGAAGACGCAGAAACAAAACAAACAAACAAACAATCGGCACAATCTCAAAGGATGTGGTCCGGTCTACTCTAGTCAAAATATTGCAGCGGTTTCATAAAATACTAAACAGTCAATTTCTACGTTACCTGACATGGTTGGCCGCACATTTTTTGGGCAAGCCTCTTAACTATCACCGTCTTGGGGTCTGCCATGCTGGAGTATGATTATCCTCCCTTCCCTTCCCAACCATCTCGCCTGGATTTCCCTCCTCCTCCTCCTCCTCCTCCTCCTCCTCCTCATCATCATCATCATCACATCACCATCATCATTGTCACGTTAGTTGATGTGTTTGTCATCCCCCTCTTTTCCTCCTCCTCGTCGTCCACCTCTCACCCATCCTCATCGTCCACCTCTCACTCATCCTCGTCCACCTTTCCCCCATCCTGTTACACCTTTACCACTCCTTTTCCTCCTCCATATCTCTCCCCGTCCTGTTCATAGATCCTGCTTCACATCATTTCCTTCCCACCTCCCAGAGATTCCTCCTCCTCTTGTGCTCTGTGCTCATCCTTCCTTCCTTCCTTCCTCCCCCTTCTATGATCTCCTCATCCAGCAATTGATTGGTTACCTACTTTTGCAGCACAGTGCAACCCTTAGTCTTCTTCGTCAATTCTTGCTGTTTCAGTTGAAACATCGGAGAGAAATTCATAGCCAGGCTTTAGTTTTCTGCCTTCAGCAGGATGCACAACTTGTAATGGTTGCCATTGCTGTGGCTCTACTCCTCCGTTGCCTCCTCCCCAGCTCCTTGTCTCCTTTGAAATGGTTATCAAGTCATTTGCACTAAGCCAGTGTCATTGATACTCCAGCACCTCCTCTTGTGCTTTCTTCCTTGTGCTTTCTCTGTCACTGTCATCTTGGATGCAGTGCTGCAGCTTTGCTATTCCCCCTTCTCTTCTCACTCACCAAAGCCCACCCATACTTCCCTCCAAAGGATGGGTGACCTCTCTTTTGGGGTGTAGACAATGGAACACACACACACACACACACACACACACACACACACACACACACACACACACACACACACACACA